AATGACGAATAGTTAGGAAAGAAAAGGAAACCCCCCTCCAGGCTGTAACAGTATAAGTCCCAGTAACAGTTATCAGTCAAACTCCTGATCCTCAGTCATTAGGTCCCTTAACAAGAGCAGAGACCATTACTCAGTTTCAAATGCTCTACTGTATGCCCACACCATCTTGCGGATATCTGCATTCTTGGTGCTTTACGAGAGGATGAATATGGATCCCTCTGATGTACATCCTGACTCTAAGGATTTTGAATTCTTCATACAGGACTACAATGCTGATCAAATGGCAACTAGGTTGATTGAGGCGTGGAAGAACCAGACCCTGATGTACCTGCCGCCAGCATTTAATGCAGACATGCAGCTGGCTGAATATCTCATTGATGAGCATGACAGCAGGACGAGCATGGAGTCTTCCCACGCGGAAACGCTCCCTCTTTCGCTTGCAGGGGAGGGGGACGGTTCGGGGTGACTACCGCCCCGCAGTAGACATTTATTTACACTCTGCAAGTACCCTATGGAATGGAGTATAACCCCTGGAATTAAAATAAATAAATAACTAAATAACAAATAATTAAAAAAAGGCCAGTGTGACCATCACATGGGGCACCTATTGGGCGCCTCTGGAAGGGGGGGTTCTCTGCTAGGTTCGGACACGGTACGAGACGACACTTATGTGGTCTCGCGCAACCTGCGGGATAGATCTCGAGTACGAGCCTGTTTCGCTCCTTCATGTCTGTCTATTGTCCAATACGTTCTAGGATGGTCTGTTTGTTGAGGTGCATCAGTGTCTGACAAGAATCAGCGCCCAGGACGGCATATGTACTAGGGCCACCAGACCACACGTCCATTAAACCTTCCTTTCCCCTGAACCTACTACTCGTTGGTATTGGTGCTGGCTTATAGGGCTTACACAACTGCCAGTGGGGTATCAATTGGGTGGAGCGAGTATAACTTAGCGTGTCGTCAAAGGGCTCCATTCACGGGGAAGCTGCCAAAGGCGCGGCCAGGATCTCGGCTACTGCAAAAATCCAATATGTTTCCCTTGTACGTTTTTGCTTTTCATTCTCAAGACTATTGTGTTGCAGTACACCGACTAATCGTACCCTGCTACAGCATGTATCTCCCAAACTTGCGCTCGGCATCTTCCAACGTGGCTGCCATCCGCCGTCACATACCTCCCCTGCCGCTCAAAGACTCTCAGTTCTCTCTCGATACATCCGGGGTTGCAGGATTCTTTGGCGGCCCCGAGGCCGTCTCGGCCATGGCAACTGTGCATGTGTATGAGGGGCGGAGGTGGTTGGGCTGGTATAATTCTCCTGGAGCCTACGAGATCTCCAAGGCATACGGCCAGCTCGCCAATTCCAGGTTCTGGGACGGGCTGTACCCAGGTCCAAACACAGACCCCGCTACGCTGTTCGGGCTGGATGGCAAAAAAGGCCCACGATTCCGGTCGTTCCAATCGGGAACCGTGATTCCCAACTCTGGTCACCTTGGGGCACTGTTGATGCAGGAATGCGAGGACACAAAGGGGATCAAATTTCCAGGGCGACAGGGCTTTGGGGTGTTCGTTACGGTCGTGGAACTAGAGCAAGCGCCAAGTAGCGTGATGCGCCCGCGCCTACTTCGGACGCACTCTGTCCTCTTGGCCAGCATACCTATTATCGCCAGCGCTGCCACGTGTGTCCTAAGTGGGCTGTTCCAAGACTGGTACGCCTTCTCCCTGATCCTGTTCGGTGTCATCGCGAGCGGCATAGCATGCTGGGTCGTTGGGTCGGGGGAGCTAGCCTTCACTCATCCGAAACCTGCGCCAGGCATTCCGCCGGGGGACGGGATGCTTGTCGGCGAATCGGGGATCGTCATCCTGAAAGGCGATGAGAATGCGGTTAATTCGATCACGAGAGGACGGTTCTCCTTACGTTTCAAGAGCGAACCCGCATACAACAATATCGGATTGGCATCCATGTTGTTGACCATTCAATTTGTCGCGCAGCTGCTCCTTGTACCCCAAGCCACGCTCTTCGGCCAGATTCTATTTGTGATATCCATGGCTGTTTCCTGGGGATATAATTCCTGGCTATCGTCGCTCGACAAGGACAAAATCCAGAGAGAAATTCTGATGCAACACGTCTTGAGCAACCCTCCCAAAAAGCGATTTGACGTCGGCACTCGAACGACCATGGCTGTCCTCGCTTGCTTGCTGCTGCAGCCAAACAACCCCAAAAGGGTCTTGGAGGATTTAATTCCCAACGACACAGAGGTGTGGAATAGGTTCAAGCGAGGTGTTTCGGAAATGATGGAGAAGGGAGAGCGAATCGCGCTGCCCTCCAACGACTTGGATGGCTTGGATGATCACGAACAGAATTTGTTGAACACGTTCTATGACGATGCACAGGTGGCCGTAGAGGGGTTTTCGCTTCATTTCAAATCGACTTAAGGGGATCAGCTGCGTTCTTGATTTTTGCTTACGACATTTACTTGTTCGCCGTTGCGGTCTTGCTAGCTCGAGCCATCTTGGTCTTTACGGGTATCTTTACGATGGTTATGATCTCATTTGCCCCGTGCTACGTTTCTCGTCATGATACTAGTTCTTCTTCGACAACGCAATTGCACATGGGCTCACAGTGCAAGCGGTTAGCGTTCCTCAATGTCTTTGTTGCGAATACGATTGTCATACAACGCTACCTACACATGATATATTTACTGTCTACATGGGGCTCGGCCCTCGCGGACAATAAAGGGACCCAAAAAAAGTGGTCAGCGCGAAGGGGGCAATAGATTTTTGCTTGGTTTCTACATTCAATCTGTCTGCATAACTGATCCAAAAAAACGGAGGACTAAATCCTTCATGTATCTCTCCCAAATGATCCTGTAGTATGGGCCCACGCCTGGAATCTGTGATACCCTCCCCTGCTATCCACTACACTCGTCTATCCACTACACTCGTCGTTCCCGTGTGCAATCTCTGTCTGAGCAGTATAAGGAGCTTCGAAAAATTGGGACGCCAAGAACGAGGAATATGTGTAGTGCCAATAGATGCCAGAGCCTATTTGAAAACTGCGATCCAGTGGCGACGGATTATATTATAGTGAAATGCTTGAGGCGAATAAGCCCACATGGAGTGGGTGGTCTTCTTGTCCAGCCGAGCATACCTGCAATGCATACAACGGGATCAAACCGAAATAAATATCCTAGCTCTCGTAGAGAAAAAGACTAGAGAGACACCACCAGACAACGCTCCCCCCAGACACGCCTGAGATCATCTTTCTACCGTTGAGGCGTTCCCGGCCGTACTCTGGGTGAAAATATCGACGATTACTAGGCTCTCCGTCGTGGACTACAGCCACTTGAAATAGCGATTGACGATATATCATTGTGGCTCGTGGAGAAGACGGCGTGTATGGAAATCATTCTGCGGCTAGTGCGAGAAGTGGGGGGGATGCCAGAGATAATGTGGTCGGTATACCAGCATCATCGCATGAGAAACGTTCACGGCGGACCCACTTGCCATGTCGCTACTAGGTCATTTGCCCACTTCCACAAACGACGCCTCTGGCCGGGTTGGTGGGCGATGGTGAACGGGGTACAAAGCAGTAGTTGCCGACACGAGTGGCAGGGCTCATAGCAGGTTACAGTATGGTAGTCCACTACTGAACCCGGCTGCGGTCGCCGCCCATACAGTGGATAATCAGCGCGTGACGCTCATATCCCGCGGTGCACATCGACCGCAATGATATCAGCACAGGCCTGTCGTGTTCGCCGCATGTGCTGTGAAACACAGAGTGGGCAGGAATGTGGGAGGTGAACGGCGGTATTGAATCTCCTGCCGTTGCTCATCGCAAGGTTCAAACTTCACTGCGGCCCCGGTGAATCGTCTTGGATTTTGATCATGCGCGCTGCGGCGAAGATCACGGCCCTACACTCCAAATTCCAAGGGGATACGGCGGGGGGGGGGGGGGGGGGGGGGGGGGGG